CCTGGGGGCCAGCTCTAGGATCCCTTTTCCTGAGCTTTCAAGGGTTTCCAGAGCCCAGCCAAGGTCACCCATTGTGACCTGGAGCTGCCAGTCAATGACAGAATCTAATAGGGGTCATTTGCATGCCATGCTTCCATTGGCTATAGCCAATGACAGGGTCTAATAGGGGTCATTTGCATGCCATGCTTCCATTGGCTATAGCCAATGACAGGGTCTAATAGGGGTCATTTGCATGCCATGCTTCCATTGGCTATAGCCAATGACAGGGTCTAATAGGGGTCATTTGCATGCCATGCTCCCATTGACGGGAGCATTTGAAATTCTGAATCCTTCTCTTGAGTTTGCTGGGTAGTCTCCTAAACTTGGGGGCCTCTAGGGTTTGGCAATAAATTGTGAAGGGGATATTATCCTGAGTTTGGAGGGATATCCTTAGCTTGGGGGCTCTTGGGTTCAAAGGTTAGGATGAGTTTGAGGTCCCCATGAGCTTAGTAAAAGATTCCTATGAATTTGGGGCATCCTACTGTATTGGGGTTCCATCAAGTTAGAAAATTCTCCCAAGTTTGGAGAATCTTTTGTAGGTTTCAAAGCTTAAGAATCCTACTGAGTTTGAGGATCTAAAGCTTTGTGAGTCAACTGATTTTGTGGGGTCACACCAAGTTTGGAGATTCTATTGATTTGGGGGGCTACTTAGCTTGGAATATTTTTAAAGTTTGGGGGTCCTTTGTGGGCTCTGGAGCACAGAGTTTACTTAAGTTTGAGAACCCTATGGAGTTTGGGCATCTCTCTTGAGCTTGGGGGAGTCTTCTGAATTTGGGGATGCCAATCCAAGTCTAGAGATTCTATTGAATTTTAGGTTCTACTGAATTTGGGAGGCTTTTCATCTCAGAGACTATTTTTAAAGTTTAGGAATTCTATTTCAGTTTGGGAAGTCTCCTAGGGTCTTGAGTTTGAGAGTTCTGTTGGGATTGCACTGAGTTTGGAGTGGCTTTTCAGCTCATATATTCAAATGCTGTTGGGGTCCTGTTGAGTTTGGAGGCATCATGACTGTGGGCACTCTTGAGCTTGGTGACTTAGACCTTTGGGGAGTTAAGAGTCAGGGTCCCTGGGTAAATGTTGGCACTAGGACCCAGGGTTAGGGCAGCCCCCCCAGCCTCTGTGTCCCTCCAACCCAGACACTGCCCTTCACTCACCCAGGAATGTTGTAGAAATGTACTCTGAGACCTGGTTTCCTGACCTGCTCATTTCTGACAAGTGTGTGAGTTCACGGTTCAGCATCCTCTTGAACTAAGGTAAAGGAGTCAAGAAGGAAGGGATGATGGGGAAATCATAAAGGGGGGTGGGCGTGTGTGTCAGCACTTCCCAAGAAACTCCTGAAGACCCCAGAAGTCCCTCCTATTTCTCTGTTCAGCCAACAGAGCCCCTACCAGGCTGCTGGAGGAGAGGGGGCAGCCTTTCCTCTCCTCCCACCTCTGGATGGGGGTCCCCAGGCTTGGGGGATCAGGATCAGCATACCCCTCCAGAGGAAAGAGGGACTCCCTTCCCCACACTCCCCTTAAGGAGGAGCCAGAGGGGCACCTGTGGAAGGGAGGGCCTCCTGCCTAACAGGGAGCCAATGGGGTATCAGGAGACTCCCGTCACCATGGCAATGGGAGTCTCCTTAGCAACTCCCCCTCCAACCAGCTGCTGAGCTAGGGGAAAGGGGGGCAAGCTGGAAGCCCCTTAACCCTTGCCTTCCCAGAGCTACCCCTGGCCCAGGTCTTCCCAGACAGAGACACCAATCCCTGGGGGTCCTGGCTCCCAGCCCCCTGCCCAGTTTGAAAGAAGGGGTGCAGTGCCCAAGCTCTGGGGGAAGAGAAGGTTTGGCCAGGAGAGGGGAGAGCAGTGAGCTGAGATAACCCCAGTTTGGTCACCCAGGGGAGGGGGAGTTGGGTTCCCATCATAGCCCCCCTCCTCCAACTTCAAGGAGGTGGACAGATGCACAGATGAATGAAGTATACCCAAAACTGGGCTTGGGAGCCCCTCCTGGTCCCCCCATGACATTTCACACAGGCCTCTGCTGTGACATTGTGCATGGAGGAGAAAGGGCATTGGCTCCCCACCCCCAAGCTGTGCCAAAGCACCCCCAAAGCAGGAGCAGACTCTGTCCAGTGAGGCCAGAGGGACACTTGGCAGGAAGGGTGAGCCTGCGTGGGCCACACTGGGACAGGGTGCTCACCCATCCTGGTGCTACCAAGAGACCCGGGGTACACATAACACACACACATGCATACACATACAAGATGGACCCACAAAATCTCACACAACTGCACAGAGTCACAGTCTCCCAGTCCTACATTGTCACACACCTGAGACACACAATATGGCAGTCACTGACATTTGGGGTCACCTGCCCCCAAAATATCAGCCAGCTCTGGGCTCACAAACATGGCCCAGTACACAACACCACAGTCAGAACCATATGATCCAGACAGGGCCACACCAACACCCAGGCAAACAAGCATATGGCCAGGTGGACACACACCATCGCAGACACACAGACATCCAGACACTCATATAGTCACACCCAGCAGGAGACCCAACCCCCCTCTCCCCCCCAGGGAGAGCCACACACCCCCAGCCTCCCGCCATCCACACCCAGCCCTGGGTCACACAGAGATGATCACAAGCCTTTATCTCCAGGCCACACACGTGCACAGCTGCACACACGGCCACACAGGGGCTGGAGGGTCCAAGGTGGAGGGCCGGGTAGGTCTCCCACCCATCCTTCACCTTTCTTTCCCCTACCTGGTCCCACCAGCCCACCAGCCAGGGCTTGGAGCAGGTCTCGCAGAAGAAATCCACCAAGGGCATCTTGGAGCCTTAGCCCTGCTCAGGGCTGCCTGCTGCACACAGAGGCTGAGCTTGGGGCGTCCCGGGGTTAACAGCCTCAGGGAGGGGGGTGCTGGGCAGGTGGGAAGTGGAATGGGGAGCCGCGGAGGGGCCTGGGCCGGCCCAGCAGGGCTGGGGGCTCCCTTCCCCTCCGCGCTCCCGGAGGCAGCCCTGGTTACATGGTCCGCCAGCCCCTGGCCCTGATGGGCCCCCCCTTTGCGGTGGCTGGGTGCAGTGGCAGCAGGGGGCCCCTGCCCATGGGGGGACAGGACAAGGGTCCTGGAAGAGGCTGCGGAGGCTCGGGGCTCCGTGTGTGCACCGGTGTGTGTGCGTGTGCGAGCTCACTGCAGCACCGGCCGGCTGCATGCGATGTCAGGTGGTGCCAGGGGTGGGGGGGCGTTAAAGGGGCATCGGAGCCCACAGGCCTCAGCCAGGACCCAGGTGGGGCTGCAAGGGGAGAGGCAGGGAGGCCCACACCCCCCCGTGAGAAAATGTCCTCTCCACGGACACACTCAGAGATGGAAACACACACCCAGACACCACACACACACACACACACACACACAAATACCCTGAGGCAGTTCTTCCATGGACACCAACACACACCCAGACACTTGACATTCAAACACACACAGATACCGAAATGCTTTCAGTCCTGCAATTAAACATCACACAATCACACACACGTGCATGTGCATTCACACATACACACACACACACCTGGATATAGTCACAACTGTGCTGTCCAACACATTTATAGCCATGCAGCTGAGCACCCAGAGATACAAATGCCTGCAGACACACCCCTTCTAAGAACACAGACACACACCTAGGGACTAGCATCCAAACACCAGACACACACACGCACTCAACACACCCACAGACACTTTCAAGCAAACAGAAATATCCTTATGCCCTTGGACACAAATAAACCCCGACAAATCCATAAGGGAACACTCACACTCACTCCCACAGATACACAAATACACACACGCACACCATCGTAGAACACCCGCAGACCCATACACAGAGACACAGTCATTCTTAGATGCTTGACCCACCCTCAGGAACACAATCACCCTCAGACTCGCACGTTCTCAGACAAGCCTCCACCCACAGATGTATGCACCCCAAAACAAAGACACCCCCACCTGCACACTCATTTCCTGATAGACATCCACCCACAAGGGCTGCCACCATGCTGTACAACTCTAGGAAACATCATTCACACTGCCTGCTTTCTGAATGGTGCCCCCTGGAGTTGTGCAGTGCACGATCTGCACAGCTGTACATGGAAGGCTTGCAGCCTCCCCTGCAGCCCTGCAAACACATAGAGATACACAGATTCTCACCTGGACCAACTCACACCCGCAGACATACACACCCCTCCAGCACAGCCAGAGCCCTACACAATCACCTGTGTACCCCTAGACACACTCCACAGGTACACACCTGCATGCCACCCCTCAGTGGCGAACACACCAGTGCTGCAAGTAGGTAGCCAACAAATCAACAGCTACACAGATGCATAGACGTAGATACATACCCGCAGACCATACAAGCATACAAGCCCCCCAATAGAGATGGTCACCTATAGACAGATGTACAACCAGATGCACAAACCCCAGTACACACCAGGCTCCTCCAGGCCTGGGAAAAGTAAGAATCTACAGGAACTACAAATCCTGAAGCTGTCCCCAAAAGGTGCACCCAGCCCAGGAATTGGCCCTATCCATAGGCCCCACCCAGAGATTAGCCCCTCCCTCATCAATAGTGGTTGGCTCCGCCCACAGGACCCACCTAGTGGTTGGCCCCACCATAGCCCTGCCCACCGGTCCCACCCAGGGATTGGCCCCGTCCCGTAGCCCCGCCCAGTAGATGGCTCCGCCCCCGTGGGACCCCGCCCACCTTGTGTGAGGCCATCTCGCTGACAGAGCGGTAGGTCTGCATGGTCTCCAGCTGCTCCAGACACCAGTCCAGCTCCTCCAGAGTTTCCCGGGCCAACTGCTGGCATGTCTCCTCTGGGGAAGAAGCAGCCGGAGTGATGGCTGACAGGGTCCCCAGGCAGACCCCCAGAGACCCCAGCCCACAGTGATGGGGGTCCGCCAGCTGAGTGGGGTCCTGGGGAAGGGGGTGAGACAGCCACCGCGGTTGAGGCATCCCCATTGGGGCTGCAAGAGGAGCCCTTTCCCACCCCCTCGGCTTAGCTACCTGACAGCGTGGCCTTGCAGACTGGGGGTGGGCCGCCCAGCGGGGACCGCCTGCAAAGAAATGGGGCCAATGTCATTCTGGGCATCCCCAGATCCCTGCATCCCTCTCTTCGTGAGTAGTGCTAGTTTTCCTTTTTTTCTTTCTTTTTTTTTTTTCCTTTGGCAGTTGGCCGGTATGGGGATCCGAACCGTTGACCTTGGCATGTTTTTCTTTATCTGAGCACTTACTCTGGCCCAGGCACACTGCCATGTACTCTGCCTGCAGCCTCTCAATGAGCCCCACAAGAACTCATTTTACAGATGAGGAAATTGAAGCTTAAGGAGGTGAACCGGCTTCCTCAAGACCACATGGCTGATCAGTGGTAGGGTCAGGTCCTGTGTTCCCAAAGTCTCTGCTCCCTGGACAACCACCTCCCAACTCCTCTGAGAATGGCTCTGCCCCCTACCCACAAAGGGACCAGCAGCACTCAGTCACACCCCTGCCCTAAAATAATAAGAACAACTTGTATTTAGGGAGGACTTATCATGTGCAGGGCAATGTTCTAGTACTTTCTCTATACCATCTCCTGGACTCCCCACAGCAGCTGTCTAATGGAGGCATTATCATAATTCCCATTTTACTGAGGGGAAACAGAGACACCACAGGATGCCAATTGCCCAGCAAGTTGGTGTCAGGGCCTGGAGTGGTGCTGGGGCTGGGGCTGTGGCCTTACCTCCCTAGATTTTTCTTTATAAAAGCTCGTGTGTCTTAGGCTCTCAAACCACAATGACTCACTGGTTATAAGGGAGTTGTTGCCTGAACAGAGGTTCAGAGAAGTCAAGTGCTTGCCCGAGGCCACACAGCAGGGTTAAGAGCCAAACCCAGGTGTGCTTAGGCTCATGATCATGGGTGCTGGGGCCCAGCCTCGACTTACTTGTTGCTGGGAATGGGCACATTGGTCAGGAGTGAGAAGTTGCTGCGAACGCTCCGGAGACTGGCCAACACCTGGGAAAGGGCGCTGCAGTGAGGACAGGTGGCTGGGCCCCTTTGCCCAAGTGTGGGGGAGGGCTGGGGCCCCTGCCCTCCTTAACCATTTGGGGAGGGGGGGTCTCACCTGGGCAAACGGTGTTACAATGAGATCCTCGGCGTGCCTGCAATCAAGGACAGCGGCAGGTCACGGGTGCCCAGAGATGCAACACTGTGAGGGCTGGACCCAGAGGAATGGTGGGCAGGGAGAGCAGCTCAGGTGAGTGGGGGGAGCAGAAATGAAGCGGGGAAGGGGTAAATATGCTGCAGGGGCTGGGCTTGGTGGGGGGAATAGGGGGACAGTGGGGGCAGAGAAAGGGTTGGCGCTCGTAACTCCCTGGGTGGAAGTGCTATAAGAGGACTGAGTCCTTTAGCGGGGGAGGCACAAGGTGGGGTTTGAGGAGGTTGGGGGTGGGCACTCCCACTCCTTGCTGGAAAGGGCAGCTTCTGGTGGAGCCAGGCCTGGGGGAGCTGGCAGGTGGGGAGGATGGTGCTCACGCCTCGCTGGTGACCGACGAGTTCCGGGACATGGTCTTCGGTGACATGTCATAGTCGCTGTCTGAGCGGTAGAGGAAGGACTCCCGGCGCTGGCTGGTGGCCACCCCGGCGTGCAGCACGAGCCCTGGGCTCGCCTGTGAGTCCAGGGGGCTGCGGCCGGGTGATAGCGTTGGCCCATTCTCTGCCTCGAAGCTGCAGAGGACAGGAGGGAAGACAGGTTAGGGAGGCCAAGATGGTGTTGGGGAGGTCAAGAGGAATGAGGAGACCTAGAAAATTCCTGGAAGGGGGGATGCAGGTAGAGGATGTTAAAGAGAGACGGACACCCCAAAACATGTGGGAAACAGGAAACTGCAGAGACCAAATGGTTGCTGAGCACCAGGCCCTGTTGCAGGGGCTGGGGACACCCCAAAGCCAAATGCAGTGGGGTCATCCTAGGCTCCACTCTTTCCTTGGCACCTCAAATCAGCCCCACTGACAAAATCTATCCAGAATCTGGCCCCTTCTTGGCCAGCCCACCGTCACCCCTATCCTGGACCAGTATATTCACCTCTCCCCTGGTCCCCAGCTCCTGTTTTCACCCCAGTCTTTTCCTTCCACAGCCACCAGAGAGAGCCTGTGAACACCCGAGTCAGGTCACATCCCTCCTCTGCTCAGAACTTTCTATGGCTCCCACCTCACTCAGAACCAGAGCCAAAGCCCTCACTGCAGCTGTAGGTCCTGCCGCATGACCTCCCACTCCCCACTTTACTCACTCTGCTCCAGCCACAATATCCTCCTTGCTGGTCCCTAAACATTCCAGAAACATTCCTGCCTCAGGGCCTTTGCGCAGGCTGTTTTTCCTGCCCAGATCTCCAGTGGCTCCTCCTTGACCTCCTTCAGGCCTCAGCTCAAATGTCACCTCCTCAGGGAGACCTTCCCTGACCAACATCCCTAAAATTTCAGCCCTTGCCCTGTTATTTCCTATTTTCATTCTTTAAAAACACACACACACAAAAAAAATACTGCTTACCTGACATAATCTATATTTTACTTATCTTCTTTACCGTTTACCTTCCCTTCTAAAACGAAGTTCTGCAGAGCAGGAATGTTTGTCTGCTTTGTTCACAGCTGTGTCCCCGGGGCTGAGAACATGGCTGGGCACACAGTGGATACCCACGATGTGTTTGTTGAATGAATCATTAAACATATGAATGAATGAATGAATGAATACATGAATTGGATGTGCCATGCCATGGTCAGGGCAGGCCTTACTGAGGAGGTGACATCTCAGCAGGGCTGAAGGATGGGAAGGAGCCACACAAGTCAGGAGGTGGGAGAAAGCACTCCAGGCTGAGGGAAAGCCAGTGCAAAGGCTCTGGGGCAGGATTCATTTTTTGTCCATGGACTAGCAAAGAAGCCAGTGTGGCTGGAGTGGAGATGCAGACAGACTGTGACAAAGACATAGATACAGAGAGAGGGGAGACAGCAGGACACTGGTGAGACAGAGACCCCCCAGGATGAGGCAGGGAGACCCAAGGCTGTGTTATGTGCCAGCTGTGTAACCTGCGGAAAGTAAATCATCAGTTTCCTCATCCACAAAATGGGGACAACAGCCACCTGCCCTGGGTCATCCAGGTGACCAGTGTCAACACAGATAAAATACATAGAACAGTGAGTTTTTGAGCCCAGAGCTCAAAAAACATTGGCAGGGCTGGCTGGTTAGCTTAGTTGGTTAGAGTGCAGCCTTGTAACACCGAGGTCATGGGTTTAGATCTCCAAACCGGACAGCCAAAAAAAAAAAAACCGTTGGCAATTGTCAGTCTATCAACCCCATATAGACCCCTTGGGAAGTAGACTCAGTAAGGCAGTTGATACAAAGAATAAGGATGAGAGTGGTGAGCTATGTGCCTAGGATATGCTGTGCGGCCTTGGGAAGGCCACTGCCCTCTCTGGTCTGTCACACCATTGTGAAAGCAAGGGAGTTACGCTGGTCAGTGGACCACAGGACATACTGTGAGGGGGTACAATAGGGGAGGGAAAGCGGATAGGAGTCCTCCCCTTTCCAGTCCTACCTACTGAGAGTCAGCATAAGATTTCATTGGAATGATGCCTCTGCTAAGAAATAAGTTAGAAATCTCCTAGACCAAGACGATAGTACCAATTTCCATATACTGAGCCTTTTTTTCTGGGCCAGTACTGCAGTGTGGGGAAGAGACTTCATTAACCTCATTTTACAGATGAAGACACTGAGGCTCAAACTGGAGGATGATTAGCTCTGGGTCACACAGCAAGATCATGGCAGGGTCAGAATTTGAACCCAGAGCTTGGCCAGTTAGCTCAGTTGGTAGAGTGTGGTGCTGATATCACCAAGGTCAAGGGTCAAGGGTTCGGATCCCCACACCAGCCAACAGCAAAAAAAAAAAAAGAACTTGAACCTAGGTTTTGTGACCCCTCCCACCAAAATGTTAACTGCTGCCCCTGCCTACTTGACCCCCATTAGAGAACATTCCCCTCATTAGAGCAAATGTTCCTAGGATCCAGACAGCCAACATAGAAAGCAAAGTGGGATGGGGACGCTGAGTAGCCAGATATTCCAAATTTGGGAAGGAAACTAGAAATTTTAAATTTAAAAATTCAAACTTCTTTTTAAGAAACAAACTTTAAAAAACTTTTAAAGTGGGCCGGCCCGTGGCTCACTCAGGAGAGTGTGGTGCTAATAGCACCAAGGCCACGGGTTCGGATCCCACATAGGGATGGCCAGTTCGCTCACTGGCTGAGCGT